ATAGATAGATAGATAGATAGATAGATAGATAGATAGATAGATAGATAGATAGATAGATAGATAGATAGATAGATAGATAGATAGATAGATAGATAGATAGATAGATAGATAGATAGATAGATAGATAGATAGATAGATAGATAGATAGATAGATAGATAGATAGATAGATAGATAGATAGATAGATAGATAGATAGATAGATAGATAGATAGATAGATAGATAGATAGATAGATAGATAGATAGATAGATAGATTGGTTATCATTGGTTTTCAATGTTTTTAATGTTAATTAGAATATAACGATTTACCATATTGAAGGCTTTCTCAAAGTATGCAAACACGGCCCCACAAATGTCACTATTGTTAATACTAAAATACCAGTTGTCAGTCTTTGGGTCAAGGCGTTATGTCAAGAATATTTAGGTCTGAAGCCTGATTTATAGTAGATTACTAGGTTGTTGTTGTTGTTGTGTGTGTGTGTGTGTGTGTGTGTGTGTGTGTTTCTCCAACGTTTTGATAGTAACAATAGGAGAGAAATGAGTCTATAATTACCTGGACAGTTTTCTGCTGAGCAAGTTTCAATAAGAGGTTGAAATTTGGCAGCTTTAAATGCTGATGTAAAGTAGTTTTTGGTAAGATATTGATTGTAAATAAATTGAGAGAATGACTAATAATTGGTGCAGAACATCGAAGAATTCGATTACTGACTTTGTCCAAGCCATCTAAGTTTGTTTGCTTGAGGTCTGAGAGATATTACTACACATCACCAACAGACATAGAGGGAAAGCAGTAGGACAGATTTCCTCACAGAATGATGCTAGTAAGCCAAAGTCACACTGTGTCCGGTGTTGTGGACTTTAAATCCTCTAATTCAAATTAAGAAGAATCGAAATCACGACACGCTAGAGAATTCGGTACTGTTCTATCGGACGGTTCTATCATATGTTCTAGAACTTGGCTAGTGATCCAAGGTGATTTCGTTTGATGTTTTACTCTAATTTCTTTAATTTTTACATGTTTATTAATTACACTGTAGTTTTCGTCCAATAGGCTATAGCCTAGTTCGGTCCAGGAATCTGATATACAGTAGTACCTCGCTTAACGAGCACCTCTCATGACGAGTAATTCGCATAACGAGCAAACAAATTGTAAAAAAATGACTCGCTTAACGAGCTACGTTTCGCATAACGAATGGCGAGGAGAGGGAAAGTCCCGAATTTTGCGCATGTTACATCAGTGTTTAGCACACATTTAAGCAGCATTGTCGCTTGTAATCACACATTTTCTCAAACTTGTGTTATATTGTGATATATGTGCATGAACCCTCCAGGCCTACAAGATGACCTCCCTGATGAATTCAAGTTAATCAAGATCCAGTTTCTGCCTCCCAGCACCACTCCGTTACTCCAGCCAATGGACCAGCAAGTTATTTCTAACTTTAAGAAGCTTTACACTAAAGCACTCTTCGAGTATTATTTTCAGGTGACTGAAGGGAACAACCTCACTCAAAAATCAATTCTACATCGTTGCCTGCCTCAAGATGACCGACAAGGCGGGGGAAGGGGTTACCAAGAGAACCCTAACTTCTTCTTGGAGGAAGCTTTAGCAGGAGAGTGTTGTCGATTTGTCACTTTGAGGGGTTCGAGACAGTACATGTGGAACCTGTAGTCAACGAGTCTACTATCATGGGGTTGTAGGTGGATAACAGTGATATAGAAGAGCTTGTGGAAGAGCACAGCCAAGAGCTGACAACCGAAGAGCTTATGGGGATGCATTGTGTTTCACTTCAAGACGTTTTGGAGGAAAGTTTGTCAGAGGAGAAGGTAACAGAAAATCAACAATCTTCTGGCGAAATAAGAAAAATGCTGAAAGCATGGGAAACTGTTGCTTCTCACATTGAAAGGAATCATCCTAATAAGGAAGTGGCTATGCGTGCTGCAAATTTAATGATAATGCTGTGTCGCATTTTCGCCAAATTTTGAAGCGTCGAAAAAAAATAAATGTCTCTAGACATTTGTCTAGTAAAAAATAAATAATTAGCTATGTATCTAATTATTTTGACTTTTTTTTCTGCAAATAGAATTCGCATTCCATGTGGGTTCGTTCCGCGTTTAAAGAAAAGATGAAGATGATTCACTCTCCATAAATATTTACATAATTTTCTTTGAATAGATGTTGCAGTATAATTTATAAATAGTCTTTTGTGAGTATTTTTTCGACATGGAACGCATTATCATATTTTACATTATTGTATAAGAGAAAAATTGCTTCGCATAACGAGTGTTTCGCTTAACGAGTATGATTCTGGTACGAATTATGCTCGTTAAGCGAGGCTCCACTGTACATGGTCTAGATGTGAGTTTCGCAAATCGTATAAAAATAATGATGATTAAAAGTTTTGAAATTTCTAAATTTAATTAAAAGATATTTATTTTTAAGAGTTTTAAACCCAGATTTATCTTTAAGAGTTTTAAACCCAGTTTTTGACCACGTACCGCATACTGGAAAATGATCGCTAACAGCAGTATTGGGGAATGAGCATTAAATAATATTTGCTTGATAAGAAACATAGATGTGATAGTCAGACCGACCGGCCGATCGACAGACAGACAGACAGACAGACAGACAGACAGACAGACAGACAGACAGACAGACAGACAGACAGACAGACAGACAGACAGACAGACAGACAGACAGACAGACAGACAGACAGACAGACAGACAGACAGACAGACAGACAGACAGACAGACAGACAGACAGACAGACAGACAGACAGACAGACAGACAGACAGACAGACGGACAGACAGACGTTGTTTAACATTTATTCCAAATGAAAACAACAATAAACGCATCAGATCTGGTTATAAATTTTTTTACAAAAGAACTTATCACGCTTTCATTGATGTCCTTTTATGCTGAAGATGTTTTGTAAATGCTCATGACTTTTCATCTCCTAAAATGAATCCAATTCCAACTCATTTGTTATGTTAACTTGCACACATATATTGTTTGTTTAAAATAACACACACAAAATGAGATTTACCAATCTAATGTAAAAAGGTCAGGTGCCGAAAGAGTTAAAATGAAATAAAACCTGTGTAAAATATCCACCATACTGGCTAAATGAAATCATAATTCTATTACATTCAGCTGCACAAAAACATAAGCATAATTCTTTATCATTCAACATCTAAATGAAATCATAATTGTAGCTCATACAACTGCAAAATGAAATATCCATAAAACTGGCTCATTCAAGGAAGTCGTCGTGGCGAAGCGGCTAGACGCTCGCCTGCTGGTCGGAAGGTCGTGGGTTCGCTCTCTGGTGCAGCCATACCTTTTTTCCAAGGAAAAAAAATGACCTTGGCTCCCAGGTTTACCCAGCCTTGAGTTGGGGCCGGGCGCAGTCCCGAGAAGTAAAGGCGGCCGGCGTGATGCTGACCACATATCATCTTGTGCCAATTGGTCTATAAAATATAGGTCTAGCCCTATTTGCCCTTAGGCCTAAAGCCGTGGAAAAGGGTCCTTTACTTTACTTTTACTGGCTTATTCAACTTCAAAGTAAAACATCCATACTTCTGGCTCATTCAACTGTTAAATAAAATATTCATAATTCTGGCTCTACCAAGTGAAAAATGAAATAATAATTCTGGCTTATTTAACTTTAAAATAAAACAGATAGTTCTTGCTTATTCAACTGCAGAAAAAAAAAATATCCATAATTTTGACTCATTCAACTGTAAAGTAAAACATAGATAGTTCTGGCTTATTCAACTGCAGAAATAAATCATCTAGATTTATGACTCATTCAAATACTAAATATAATATCCATAATTCTGACTCAATCAAATGCTAAATAGAATATCCAGATTTCTGGCTGATTCAAATGTTAAATAAAATATTAAGAATTCTGGCTGATTCAATATCCTCCGAGGCAGCAGCCACTTCAAGGTAACTCTACTGATTGTTTCCATGAGAATGTAGAGAGAAGATTACCCAGCTGATCAACAACATGGCACCAGGGTAGAGAACCATAACCACTTCTAACTCAAGTCTGTGTCCTAAGAATCTCAGCGTAGTGCACGAAATCTGTAGCACTGGTGAGGATCCTGAAATACTTTATCTAGATTTCTTAAACCTTAAATTTTGCCCGGCTAGCGCGGTTATGCTACTCTTCTCGATTTCCAACTGCCAACGGATTTTTTTTAACGAGACCAGGGGAAATTACTAGAAGTCCACTTGAAAAATCCCAGCACTCCAGTACTCGAGGCGGACGCCATACCTAGAGACCGTGAGGCCCACTGTTTCCAGGTAAAGTTTGTAATGAGAAGCTCGTTATAATGTCTCCTGTCTTTACCTCGAAGACAGCATAACCATGCTTCACCAAGCGTCACTCCTCATCACGCAATCGTATTAGCAGCAGAGTTTCAACAGTATCCCCTAAACTAGTCCTACAAGGTTAATGAAATGAGCTCTGTCCATGCTTCTTCCCGTTTACATTGGTGCATTACTTGCCAGCTGGTCAGCTCTTTCATGACCATTTACTCCCACGTAACCAAGTGTGTGGAGACTCAAATGATACAGCTGAACTGCGTTTTTCAAATGCTTTCTAGCGACTCAGAGCGTAGACTACCTGTAGTGATTTTGTGAAGCATAGAACAGGAATCTGTCCCGAATTACCCTACATGTTCTATTCTCCATGCGAGTGATCTGGGAGCAGCAGTTACCTCCATGGTGATGCTTGGTGTAGTTGTTTGGTAAGCGCCGCTATCATCTAGACAAGAAACAATGAGTAACTAGGTCGAGCGCTGTTTCGTTACCACGCCTCTGAGTTTTTTTTTTTACTGTGCAATCAATAGTTTTTTTGTTGTTGTTGTTGTTGTTCAAAAGCGAAATAGGTCAGGCAGGGCATTGTGCAATCTATTTGTTGTGTCTTTTCTGTTTAAATTAAAACACGCACACACACACACACAGGAAAACACATACCATTTTGCTCTA